GTCACTCGTGACGAAGGCAATTGTCCCATAAGCTGAGTTGTAGCCCTGGTTGAGTAACGAATACATGTGATACACTTCCGAAAATATTTCTTAATATATATTCTTGGATTGTGGGTGTCAAGGGATTGACACCGCCCTTGACACCCACAATCCAATACATCGATCGCAAATACGTGATCATGAGTTGTGGACCACCGTGCATGGTCTTTTGATGTGCATCCGCAATCAAGCGATCAGTTAAAAACGATTCCTTGGGGATAAGAATCGGATGCTTCTCACTGTAATTTAATTTAGACATTTCTAGTCTCCCGCCTACTCTTACTATACCTTTAACATCTAAAAATAGATTTAATGACTTCATCTTCTTTTTTCCTTTAGCCAAACACCCTTTATCCTTCAGTTCCTCTAACTCTTCATGCAACCATTCCTCTTGACATTTCTTTATATATAGCTCTCTTGCAACATCAATTTCTTGTCTTCTTAAAAATCTACTTCTAGGTTTAGTCGCTGATTTTTTACTGAGGTTCAAGAATCGTCGACAATATGCAACTACACGAACAAGCTTAGTTAAAGAAGAGAACTTTTGCCACCAGTCCATGTCAACTACTGCTGTATGTGCTTTAGTTTGTTCTAGGCTTCTGACCAGGTGCCTTGGTCTCTTATAGTCAATTTCCCTCTCTTTAAGGAAATCCGGACCGTTCACCCATATAGATGTGATAGATAGCTCTTGTGGTGCAATGCCGCGAGATGCGCAGTCTGCAGGATTTTTTTTCGATGCTACGTGATGCCAGTGCTGAGTATCTAAAGTGGTCAAAATCTCCGAGACCCTATTAGCCACGAACGTTTTCCAGCGATTCGGATGCTGATAGAGCCAGGCCAGAACCACCTCACTATCGGTATAAGCATGAAGATTATCCTTATGGATTCCCAATATTTCAGCTACCTCTACCATTAACTTAGACAACAGCACTGCCCCGCAAAGTTCAAGCCGAGGAATGGATACTTGTTTAAGGGGTGCTACCTTTGTTTTTGATGCTATTAAGGATATGTGAACATTTCCCACTTCGTCCATAACTCTCAAATATACAACGGCAGCATAAGCTAGTTTTGAAGCATCTGCAAAACCGTGTAATTCAGGAGTAAATAAATTATTCGAAGTGTTCATCCAACGAGGGATCTTCATGTTTTCTAAGGATGGTAAGTTTTGACGGTAAGTCATCCATTCTCTTAATAAATTGCTGGGAACTTCTTGGTCCCATTTAACTCCGGATAACCACAGCTTTTGAATTAGTATTTTTGCTACAATTATACATGGTGCTAGCCATCGAAGAGGATCAAACAGCCGTGAAATATCCGAAATAATCTTTCTTTTTGTTGCAGGTTTACTAAGTGGAGCAAGATCGACTTTGTATTGGAAAACGTCTTCGCAAGGATTCCAGGTAAGACCCATAATCTTTGTAATATTTTCTGCCCTTATCTTTTAATCCTCATCCTGCCTCTTATTTTCCTTCCTTATCTTATCTAATAACTCCTTGCTATTACTAATCCACTTCTGCAACTGAAACCCTCCCTTAAGCAATACTCTAGTCAGCTCACTATAAATATTAAAACAGTTTTCGATATTTTCAGCTCCTGTCATCAGATCATCCATATAGAAGTCATTCAAAACTATCCTTGATATTTCAGGACTATTCTGACACTCATCATTTGCAACCTGGTGTAGTGTCCGCACAGCCAAATATGGCGCTGATGTAGTTCCGAATGTCACTGTTACCAATTCGTATTCTTCTATATCGTCTTCAGGATTCTCCCTCCAAGGGATTCGTTGAAATGAGCTATCTCTACAGTCAACTAAAACCTGCCGATACATTTTTATTATGTCGGCGACTAGACATATTTTATACTTTCTCCAACACATAATAGTATGACGGAGTTCAGCCCTCAGTAAAGATGGACCAACCATTAAATCATCATTAAGATATCTTCCGTTAGTTCCTTTACAGGAAGCATCAAACACGATCCTGACCTTTGTTGTGGTCTTATCCTCCCGGACAACTGCGTGGTGAGGTAAGTATACAGCTTCTTTATTTCTTTTTTCTAAACCGGTAACTTTTCGCATGTGATTAAGTTCTAAATATTCGTTAATAACTTTAGTATACTCATTTTTTTATGTTATGTTTTTACCTAATTTGAATTCTAATCCTCTTAATCTATTTTCCGCTATTTTTCTCACCATACTCACTCACCATACTTGCAGTCCGGGTCAGCATCACGGAATGGTAATTTGACGACGTAGCGACCACAAGCGTTCCGTTTTGTTGTGGCTGTGTAAAACTTCTCACATTTAGTTTCTTCTTCTGTAAACCTCTTTTTAATTTCCAATGGTTCAGCTTCCAACTCCCGAAACTTTCTTAACAACTCATCATTCTGAGTTGAATGCATAACAGTGATGTGTGAATTAATATTTCCTGAGTTCTCCACCTCACAGATGCCTGATAGTATCCATCCGAAAGCGGTTTCTTGAGCTAAAAGAGATTCATTCGGATTGCGGTTAATGCCCTCTTTGAGAATTTGGCCATATACCTCAGCACCTAACAAAATGTCAATTTTATGGGGCCTGTGGTATTCAGGATCAGCCAAATCACCCACATTTAGGTTTACCCATTCTACTCTGCTCTACTCGAGACCAGCTTCTTGCTTCCACCATAAAGTATAACAAGACAAACCCAGAGAATAAGCTGAATAGCGTGCACCTGGGCATTCCAGGCATCAAGCACCCTGTTTATGTATTGGAACACCTATCAGCAGCTAATAAATCCCTTCATGCTGCTGCAAGGCTTAAGGCTAAACATAACGGGTATAAATATGTCTGGGTAAGGAACGGTAGAATCTTTATGAGAAAATCCGATGACACAGAATACATAATTGTTAAAAACATAGCTGTGTTGGATAGTTTATCTTAGAAACCTTTGGGTTACTTTATGTACTTAAAAGCATTGTAATGGTTATAAATTTCGGTAAATTCGATCAATTAAAGATATATTACCAAAATACCCGTAGTTTGTGAACAAAAACTCACGGGTTTTATAACGAACTATGTGGTGTGGACTATGATATTGTTGTGCTAACGGAGTCATGGTTGAATAGTGATATACTAAGCAGCGAGGTATTTGACAACAGATACATGGTTTATAGAAGGGATAGGGTAGATTCAGGCTTTCATAGTCTAAAAGAGGGCGGGGGAGTTTTAATAGCGATTAAAAAAATAATTAAATCGGAACGCAAATGTACCTGGGAAAGCAAATGTGAGGATCTATGGGTTACTATAGAAATCCCTACTGCTCAAAAAACATGTCGTGTGGTTCTCTGCGCTGTATATTTACCTTCTCCTTTAAAACGCACAATGCTAGAACATTTTATAGATAATTGTAATTTAATCTGTGAAAAACCTGATTTTAATATGTGTATAGTTGGCGATTTTAATTTATGCGAATTGAATTGGAACTTGTTAGACGATCCGACTAATGCTTATTCAGTATCCGGTAAAGGTCAACTCCTAGTGGATTTCATAAACTTGAATAGATTCAGTCAAAGCAGTCGTGTACTCACTACATTATATGACGAAGTTAAACTGAGCTATAATACAAACACAAAAAAATACAATTTTCACAAAGCAGACTACGATAGGATCCGTACATATTTATCAACGATTAACGGGATAGCAACATTCGATCCCATGAATAACGTAAATGATATGGTAAAAGTATTTTATGACATTGTTTGGACTGCGATAGAAAATTATGTCCCAAAATATATCAATAAACACAATAATTATCCTCCATGGTTTTCCCGCCCTCTGATAAAGTCTTTAAGGGAGAATTACAAACTGAGATGTCGCTTAAAAAAATACAAGAACCCTTTAGATGAGCTTGAGCTAAGAATAGTAAGCAAGCGATGTTCTTCTATGATCATCGCTTGCTATTATCAGTATGTCGCGAGATTAGAGGAAAACATTGTAAAGGATGTAAAACATTTTGGTCTTATGTAAAAGCTAAACGCGGGGCTCCAGTTCCTATCCAGTCTCTATGTCGGATGGTAATGTAAGTACTTCGGATGGGCCGAGTATATGTGTAATATTTGCGACGCATTTTTCGTCTGTGTATAGTAACAAAAAAGAAACAGCTACAACAAGGGCTTCAGAGTCAGACTATTTGACCAATATGGCCAACTTAAGTTTGAACTTATTGCTCCCGGTCATACAGTACGATAGTTTGTTGGCAAAACTAAAGAGTCTGGACTGTACCAAGGGAGCTGGCCCAGATGGTGTACCGCCCTTATTCATTGTGACCTGTGCTGAATATCTTGCTAAGCCTCTGCTGCAAATTTTTCAATATATCTCTATCTACTGGAACCTTTCCAGGACAGTGGAAGACTGCTAAGATAGTCCCCGTCCATAAATCAGGAAATGGTACTATTGTCGCTAACTACCGCCCCATTTCGATACTATCAACATTCGCTAAAGTTTTCGAATCTCAAGTATGTCCACTCATACAAAAACATTTTAGGCTATATTTCACTGATAGTCAACATGGGTTTGTGACTGCTAGATCTACCAGCACAAATTTAGTGGCGTTTTCAGAGACCCTAGCTGAAACGATGGATTCCGGCAAGCAGTTTCATGTGATATACACCGACTTTAGTAAGGCATTCGACAGAGTCCAACATAAAAGTCTCCTTCGGAAGCTGTCAGTATATGGTATCACCGGAACCATGCTAAAATGGTTGGATTCATATCTGGATGACCGTACTTTCTTTGTTGTCGTCAACGGCTTTAAATCTGGGGTCCGAGCTGTAGGGTATTTGTAAGTAATTTATGTATTGTGTACCGCAGATAATAAATCAGTTAGTTACCCGCCTCGGTGTTTGATTTACGTTCCATTGGCGACGAGGAACATTTTTGTTTAAAAATATCGAATCGTAGTGTGCAAATCACTATTAAAATGCCTATCGGTAAACTAGAACCTTTCGATGTTAACTCAAAACAGTGGCCGGCATACATTAGGCGCGTTAAACAATATATTTTACTCAACGAAATAAAGGATGAATTACGTGTGCCGTTACTTATTACGGTGGTGAGTGAACATACTTATTCGTTAATGTGTGATTTATGTGCGCCTAAAAACCCGAAAGAAAAATCTTTTGATGAATTGATAAAGGCAGTATTGGAGTATCTTGAGCCACAAAGAGCAGGAGGATGGTGAATCCATGACGGAATACCTCCAAGAACTTAAACATCTAGCGACTACTTGTAATTTTGGAACTACGCTGGAAGAAAACCTTCGAGATCAGTTTGTATCAGGTCTATCCAACAGCGCGATGAGATCTCGTATTTTTGCTGAGAAAAGCATTACATACAGGGAGGCAGTGGAACTAGCTCTGGCGTTGGAGGCCGCGGAACGGCACGCGGAGGTGAGTGGGGCGACGGCCCCAGTCTCGGCTTCAGGGGCAAGCGTGGGTGAAGGCCTGCACAGCACCCGCGCGGGATCCGCGGGCACGAGCGGTGGGGGCGAGCGCCGGACGAGCCGATACCGCGGCGCAGGGGCAAAAGGGCCTAATTCTGCAGCTTCGTCGATATCCCTTCAATGCTGGCGGTGTGGTAAGGCACACCGGCCGGATAGGTGCCGTTACGTTAATTATAACTGTGATGAGTGCAACCAGCGAGGTCATTTGAAAGTGATGTGTCGTGAAGTGCAAGCTAATCGTTCGGATAGGCAAAATTATGTAATTGGATATGCTGAGGACGAAGATCTGTTTAACATCGAACTGGCGTCTAAAGGTAACAAACCGTTCTTTATTAAAGTGAATATAGACGATTATATGCTTGAGTGTGAAGTGGATACCGGTAGCCGCATCTCGGCGATAAGTGAAGTTTTTTATAAGAAAATGTTTTCACACAAAACTATTTATTTTGATAATTTATTGTTACGATGTTATTCGGGCACGCCGATAGAATCGTTAGGTTATATAATGGTTACTGTTAGTTTAGGTAACGTCGTTGCTAACGATTTAATACTTTACGTGATTAAGAATGGAGCACGCCCACTTATGGGCAGGGATTGGCTAAGGTCTCTCAATATCAAACAAATAAGTATTAATGAGATTAGTACCGATCCATGTATAAATCGTTTAGCTAAAGAATTTCCGGAGGTGTTTACGGATAAGTTGGGTAAATGTAGGAAATTGCTCCAATGGCAACTGACCGATAGTGAACCTGTTTATGTCCGTACCACTGGCGCTCCGCGCACGTGTCCAACGAGAGCTTGAGCGTCTAGAGGCCGAAGGCACTATTTACCGCGTCGAACACTCTGAATACGGAACCCCGATCGTGCCGGTAATTAAGACAAACTGCGTCATACGAATATGCGGCGATTACAAAATGACTATCAACCGTAAATTAAAACGGGAATTTTACCCACTTCCCCGCATTGAGGAGTTATTTGCAACTTTGAGTGGGGGAAAGGAGTTTTCAAAAATTGATTTGACTCATGCTTATTTACAGACTGTTTTGGATGAGAATTCGCAAAAGTGTACCGCTATAACTACGCATATCGGAACATTTGTATATCGTCGTACGCCCTTTGGGTTGTCTTGCATTCCAGAAAAAATTCAAAAATTGATGGAGGAGACGTTGCGGGGAGTACCGGGTACGGTGGTATTCCTTGATGATATTTGTGTCACGGGACCTTCGAGATATGAACATTTAAATAATTTAAAGCAAGTTTTGATTAGATTAAAAGATATGGGATTAACAGTAAAACTAAATAAATGTCAATTTTTACAGACGAGTGTTAAATATCTGGGGTTTATCATTGACCAAAAGGGGTTACACCTTGATCCAAACAAGGTGAATGCCATTGTTGATGCACCAACCCCTACGGACGTAGCGCAGTTAAAAGGCTTTTTAGGTTTATTGTATTATTACGGCAAGTTCATTCCTCGATTGAGTACACTGTTACACCCGTTACACGAGCTTTTAAAAAAGGGAGTCAGTTGGAAATGGAGTAGTGAGTGTAATCAGGCTTTTGTAGAAGCAAAATGAGCATTGTCTAGCAAGAAAGTGCTCGCGCATTACGACGAGGGGCGGCCCCTAGTGTTATCGGTGGATAGCAGCGCGTATGGGCTCGGCGCAGTACTGGCGCATCGGTTCCCAGATGGCAGCGAGCGCCCCGTTAGCTGTGTGTCGCGCACACTCAATCAGGCCGAGCGTAATTATAGTCAAATTGATAAGGAGGCTTTAGCAATATTTTACGGCGTCATTAAACATCACCAATACCTCTATGGTAGGACATTCGAACTAAGGACGGACCACAAACCATTAAGTTACATTTTTGGTCCTAAGATAGGCATACCACAAACAGCTGCTAGCCGCTTGCAGCGCTGGGCAGTGCGATTAGCCGCAAATGACTTTACAATTAAATTTTTTACATCAAAACAAAACGGCCCGGCAGACGCGCTGTCTCGTTTACCGTTATTGCAGGTGCCGCGCCGTCCTAGTGATGCAGTCAGTTATATTAATTTAGTTCAGGAATGCTTACCTGTTGATTTTATCAAAGTAGGTAAAGAAACCAATAAAAATGTATTATTGTCTCGAATAGTGGGATATGTAAAATTTGGATGGCCATCGGTACCCAGCTGTGAAGCCGAAAAACCGTATTTTGTGCGTAAAAATGATTTGACAGTTGATTTAAGTTGCTTAATTTATAAATATCGTATCGTTATACCTGCAAGCCTACAAGGTAAAGTGTTACATGAACTTCATCAAGGTCACCTGGGAGTAAATAAAATGAAAACATTAGCACGCAATTATGTTTACTGGCCCAACTTAGACATGGATTTAGAAAATGTGTGTCGTTCATGCGAGCCGTATCGCACGGTGCGTGATGCACCCCCGCGCGACACGCTACATCCGTGGGAATTTCCATTGTTTCCTTGGCGATTAGATGCGTTACGACCGGACGTCGCGCAGGTGGCGCGAAAAGCGCAGCAGCGCCAGATAGCGAATGCAGGGGGCACGCCCCAACCCTCGATTCTTTTAGGAGATCCGGTACTCGCTCGGGATTATTCCGTGGGTAAAAATAAGTGGTCCACCGGTACAGTAACTGAGCAAACTGGCCCAGTATCCTATCGAGTTAACATGGGTAATGGTGTCGAGTGGCGCAGACATCGAGACCAAGTTTTACCAATTGAGAATAAATCACGCCTTTCTTTATCGCGAGCAAGTGTCGGTGAGAAGAGGGGGCAGGGGACTAGCGATGTAGAGGAGCATGTTGAAGATGCGTTTGACGCATCTGAAGAGGGGACGGTGGGGACCGGGAGTGTGGAGTCACCAAGAGCGCCGGACCGCTCCCCGACTCCGCCGCTTCCGGGAGCCACGGCCCGTACCTTACGCGCATATGCACGCGCTTAGAATAAGGCTCGTAATTAACAACTTATTATGTCATATGTATTGTGGCCTACCAGATGTTCTAGTACAGTTAGATGGTGTGATTGATTTGTTTAACTTTACTTAATATTGTAAGTAATTTATGTATCGTGTACCGCACATAATAAATCGGCGGGATCTCTGCGAAGGCTACGCAACTTCCTTCCTACCAATACCAAAATTGCGCTCGCACAATCTCTTCTTCTTCCCATCCTTGACTATGGCGATGTCAGCTACCTGGATCTCACCGAAGACCAACTGAATAAACTTGAGCGACTCCAAAACCTCTGTATTAGATTCATATTTGGTTTGCGCAAGTATGATCACATCTCAGAGTATCGTTCCAAACTCAAGTGGCTACCAATACGCCTTCGCCGGAATCTCCATATTCTTTCTCTTTTATACAGTGTTCTGTTTCATCCTCACACACCCTCTTATCTCAAAAAAACGTTTTGAGTTCCTACACACCACACATTGCAGGGACCTGAGGTCATCTGTTCACGCGTGAGGCGCGTGGGCAACCTGCGAGGGAGCGGAGGGCGCGGAGGGCGCGGCGAAGCGTGCCGGGAGCGACGATTGCGGTAATTGAAGGTGTCACGAGCCCCTTCACTTGACGACCGAGCGGCGCACAAGACACACGCATTACAAATTCCATATTACATGTACAGTGTAATAAATCGATTTAAAATACAGTCCACTTTTAATTTATAATTTCGCTGCGTTACTCGAAGATAAAACATTGGTCCTTCGAGCCGGATTTGAACCAGCGATCAAGACAGACAATATTCCTATTCCGTCAGGCCTTTTATTAGCTGACCCTACCTTTAATATTCCGTCTGTAGTTGATATTTTACTTGGGGCTGAAACATTTTGGAGCGTCGTAGGCTCCTCTACGATTGACTTAGGCAAACAAATGCCAAAGTTATGTGAAACTAAATTCGGATGGATCGTATCCGGTCCGGTTTTCAAAGGTAATTTATCCTCTTCTCAACGCTCACATCTTTGTAATCTTGTCAATCCCATTGACAAACCTGATCTGTCTAAATTCTGGGAACTCGATGCTGTTTCTCCAATGCACTCATTATCTCAGGAGGAAAGGGCGTGCGAGTTGAGCTTTGCTCAGAACACACTCAGAAACAAGGATGGTAGATTTATTGTTACAATGCCCTTGAAGACCACTCCAACAGTTTTAGGAGACTCGTACACCATGGCGAAACATCGCTTCTTTTCATTAGAGCGACGTTTTCAACGTGATCCTGACTACAAGGCTAAGTATGTTGACTTCATGGCAGAATACGAACGCCTAGGTCACATGACTGAAAATGTTAACAAACCAGCACCACATTTAGGTAATGACGTTGAATACTTCATACACACGTCTCCGGGGATGTGGAAAAGATGTATCGCTGCATCGAAGTAACTACCTCACAAAGGCCCCTCTTACAAATTATTTTTCGCAGTGACCCTGAAAAACCTCTTAAGACTTATAGCCTCAACACAGTCACGTATGGGACTGCGTCAGCTCCGTACCTAGCCACCAAATGTTTGGTGAGCTTAGCAGACGCGGCGTCCACTGCCAAAGTTAGGTCAGCAATAGCAAGAGACTTTTATGTTGATGATTATTTGGGTGGGGGGTCTTCTGTACCTGAGACTGTGGCACTTGTCAAAGAGGTAATACAAATTTTAGCCTCAGCTCATTTCTTTTTGAGAAAGTGGCAATCCAACTGCCCTGACATTCTGAAGGCCATTTTAGGTAATTCATATACTCAGGATAATCCCACTACATTAAATCTTTCAGAACACAACACGTCTGCGAAAACCCTAGGTCTAAACTGGTTGAGTAGCTCAGATTACTTATCGTTTTCTATAAATATTGAATATGTAGAAAAGGTCACAAAACGACACATCTTGTCAGTAATTAGTCAAATATTTGACCCTCTAGGCTTAGTCGGCCCTTGCATTGTTGAAGCAAAGGTAATCATGCAACGGCTATGGATCGATAAATGTGAGTGGGATGACAGGGTTTCTCTGGAGATTGATAGGATGTGGTCATCGTTTGTTTCAACGCTTTCTTATTTAAACAATTTAAAAATTCCGCGCTGGGTTTCTTTCGATGCGTCGGTAAAACATGAAATTCATGTTTTTTGTGATGCATCAGAGAAGGCGTATGGCGCTTGTGTTTATGTGCGATCCATAGGTTGCACCGGCTCCCTTCGGGTTCGTCTTCTTGTGTCCAGGAACCGTATAGCACCGATAAAATCAATTACGATCCCACGGCTTGAACTTTGTGCCGCATTATTGGGGTCAAGACTGTGTACAACCGTTCTCGAGTCATTGACAATGCCCATCTCTCAGTGCTTCTTTTGGTGCGATTCGATGATCGTGCTTGGGTGGTTAAATACTCCTTCAAATCAACTCAAGCCATTTGTACGAAATCGAATAAATGAAATTATAGAAAATTCTACCAGTCACAGGTGGAGGTATGTGCCGTCGAAAGACAATCCGGCAGACCTTGTCTCGCGCGGGGCGAAAGCCGACTCAATCGGTGATAATGATCTATGGTGGTCAGGCCCTAGGTTTTTACAAAATCATGAGCATGACTGGCCTACTATGCCCTCTAACAGCGTGAACTTCAGGCAGATCCTGCGATCTGCCTGAAGTGATTTCCCAGTTTATTTATATCAATCATTCATCTAATTCAAATCAATCACCAAATATCATACAATCATTAATTCATTATCATTCTAGTTTCAATCGCTTACAAAGAGTCTTAGCCTATATTAACAGATTTATTTACAATTTAAAAAATTCTAAGTCTAAATTACAAGGCGCTCTTTCTAGTGATGAGTTAACTGCTTCATTAATGTGTTTACTACGCAGCGCGCAAAGAGAAATGTTTCCTACGGAGTTGTGTTTTTTGGAGTCGGGAAGATCTCTACCGCGGAAAAATAGATTAATTTCATTAACGCCATTTCTCGATTCGGAAAATATCGTACGAGTAGGTAGTAGGCTCGATAATTCTCCGTACGACTATAGTACTAAACACCCAATATTGCTTTGTAGTAAACACCACTTAAACAAAAATTCTGTTTCACATGCAACATTTAAAAATGCTACATGCAGGTCCTCAACTTTTACTAGCGCAGTTGCGTCTTAATTATTGGCCGTTGGGTGGCAGGAATCTTGCAAGGTCAACGGTCAGACAATGTGTTAAGTGTTTTAGATTCAAATGTCAAAATGTACAGCCCATAATGGGACAACTGCCTATAACTAGAACTAGGTTAGAATACCCTTTTTTTGATTGCAGTATAGATTATGCTGGTCCAATACTCATAGCAGGTCGGGGCTGTAAGCTCATAAAATCGTACCTGTGCATCTTCGTTTGTCACGCAACCAGAGCAGTACATTTGGAGCCCGTCACTGACCTCACAAAGAAGGGCTTCATTGCAGCGTTGAATCGCTTTATTTCTCGTCGTGGTAAACCTCAAAGCATCTTGTCTGATAATGGCACGAATTTTGTCGGAGCCAATAACGACCTACAAAAATTCTTATCAGACTCATCTTCTGATGTTGCATGTGAGATGTCTCGTGAGGGAATCAGGTTCTCATTTTCACCTCCATATTCACCTCATTTCAATGCAATGGCTGAGGCAGCAGTTCGCTCTACGAAACATCACTTGAGAAGGTTGTTAAGTCTTACTAACTTCACCTACGAAGAGTTAGCAACCTGTCTGTGTCAAATCGAGGCCGTTTTAAATTCTCGTCCTTTGACACCTCTATCCACTGATCCTGCCGATTTCTCTGCTCTCACTCCTTCCCACTTCTTAATTGGACGACCACTTACGTCTGTACCGTATCCGCAGATTCCTGAGAAGAACATCAGCTGCTTCAACCGGTTCAAGAGGATTGAATGCATCCGACAGCACTTCTGGCAAAGATTCTCTAATGAATACATTTCTTTACTACAGAAAAAAACTAAGTGGTCTTCATCATCTGGCCAGCTTACTGAGGGGATGCTCGTGCTTCTTCGGGATAGGGCGCTTCCACCGCTAGTTTGGGCTTTGGGTCGCGTGGTGCGCACTTTTCCTGGACTCGACGGCGTGACAAGAGTGGCGGAGTTAAGGACGAAGAGAGGCAAGGTGACCAGAGGGTTCAACAACATTTGCCCTCTTCCCTTTGAAGAGGTCAAGAGGCGGGAGGATGTTCACGCGTGAGGCGCGTGGGCAACCTGCGAGGGAGCGGAGGGCGCGGAGGGCGCGGCGAAGCGTGCCGGGAGCGACGATTGCGGCAATTGAAGGTGTCACGAGCCCCTTCACTTGACGACCGAGCGGCGCACAAGACACACGCATTACAAATTCCATATTACATGTACAGTGTAATAAATCGATTTAAAATACAGTCCACTTTTAATTTATAATTTCGCTGCGTTACTCGAAGATAAAACATCATCGGAGAATTTAAAACTAAAAATGCCAAAACATTCCACCCAGTTTGCAGATAAATCTTTCACTGTGCAAGCAGTAAGACTCTGGAACAACTTGCCTGAAACAATCCGACAAGCTAAAACTTTGCCTGTTTTAAAAAAAATATTAAAACATTTTTATCTGTCATTATAAATACTGTTCTGATTCCCTATTTAATATATTATATATTCCAAATATGTATGGGTATATGTGTATGTATATATGTGTATTTGTATATGTGTAATGTCCATAGATGTATATTTGTGTATGAATGTGTTTGTTTATGTTTGTAAATATTTTTAAATATTCACGTGATATTGTGTTACGTGTATGTATACTAAGCTAAATTGTTAAATACCTAAAATCCATGATAAGGTTGTCTGGAAGAGATCGCTGTGAGCGATAAGACCGCCGATTGTTACGTTTACCTATTTGTAACTCATCTTTTGTTTTGTTTTTTTTTTTTTATCTATTAGTGTATACAATAAAGATATAATAAATAAATAAATAAATAAATCAGTTAGTTACCCGCCTCGGTGTTTGATTTACGTTCCACGAGCCATCACATCTGGTGTTCCACAATGAGGAGCGGGGCTGGACGGTGGCCGGGGACAGCAAAAAGAGG